AGGGGTCTGCTGCTGTCTCAGAATCTGTCCATGGCAGTAAGCAACTTGGAGTTACAAATAGCAGCTATTTATTGATACTATTTCATGTTGAAATATTTAAAGTCATTGTTTGGGAGTAATGTGTCACACAGAATCATCAATATGACTATTAATGATGTACACTTCATTGTTGCCAATAACCAGAGCTATAAATGGGAGTGTTAACAGATTGTTAGTCATTTCCCCAATATGCCCTCCTTCTTTAAAACAGTCAGCTCCCACCATGCAACAAGTATTCACACACGTTCCCTCTCCTCATGGTAAATAATATAGTGGTTAAAAGTTAATTTCAGGGTTTTCTGCAGTGATATGAGTGGATTTTATTGATCCCTGCAGACCAAACAGGGAAGCTGGGTCTCAAAGCTGTATGTGACAAACTCTCCATGGAACACACAGCAGTCTGAAGCAGGAATAGTGTCTCATCCCACTGATGGATGGTTTGCTGAATCATCCTAGTGCCACCTGGTGGTCATGTTAAGGGTTACCATACATGTCCAGAATTATTTTTTTACTTTTAACCCCAAGAACTCAAACAATTCTGGAATGATGAATGATTTATTGTTCAGTAGACAAACAGGCAAGCAAATGTTGATAATCTGTCTGTATAAATGGATCCATGCACATCACATTTCACAAGATCACAATTAAAATTTGAAAGTTGAATGTCTAATAGCATGCTTCATTCTAATATTTTTTTCCACGGAACATTTACAGATTCATAAAACATCCTAACATCAGAGTTTCTGAACACACCGTTCAGAGATTCTGATCTACTCTTTCAGCTTTGATGACTGTGTGAGTTTATCTTACATTGTTTTAACAGAGAGGATAGCTTAAAGTTAACAAAATGCAACCAACAGACTACAGAGTTCCAGCTTAATGTGCTTTTATTGCTGACGTCACACAGAGAGATTAAACTGGTCTGCTTCCAGATAGGAGCAGGAAACTACATGGATTAAAAAGGAAATGGATACAGTGCTGCCAAATGACTGTAACCACTGCTTATGTCTCACTGATGGTTCACTAGTTTCTTTATCATCTTAATTATAATGGATAGACAGACAACACACAGCTAATGTACTTTTTTTTGTAACAGGAAACACTTCTGACCAAAACAATGAGCTAAAAGGCTCTGTAGAGCTGAGTGACATTTAACATGAAAGTTAAAACGTTAACTTGATATTGAATATTATGTGACAATAACTTTGCACCTTCGACTTACAAAGCAAATAAAAAGCACAATGTTGAATATAGTAATAATAGATACATACACACAACTTTATTACACCAGTCATTTTAGTCATTTCAAATGACACTGATTTGTACTGTCAAACAAAATAGCTAGTGAAAGTACTTAATCAGGAATGTTTCTGTAAATTACAAAACTAAGTTAGTGTCACTTAAGATGACTAATAAAATTAAATCAAGAATCTTTTTTAACTTAAAAAGTTGAGTTTGTGTTACTTAAAATGTATATATAACTTATCGCATTACAGTGAATAGAAAGGACTGACTTTGTTGAGAAATATTTCAGTAATGACAGAATTGAAACATGAGCCAGGGAGGAAGAAGAGGACTTCTTTTGAACACAATATTTATGAGGAAGGCTTCTTGTAACAGAGGAAGAACCTTTTCTGCATGCAGTCCCTTATATCCAAGCTGCCGTTCTTCCTCAGGATGCCACAGAACCTCTGAGTCGGGCAGCTGTTAATATTCTTGGGTGGCCCTGGTTCTCCACCCACCCACACCCACTGACCAGCCAGGTAGCGGAGGCCCGTCCACACCTACCAACATTAGCACAGAGATGTAAACACAGAGGAGTTGCTCAGTAATACAAACAAACTGTAGAAAACTGCCCTACCTCATGTGGAGCCTCTTGTGCTGTCTCTTGTGCAAAGGTGAGGTCATCTACAGTGAGCAGGGTGGCGAGGTCATAGCGGTGGTTCTGGTAATCAGTGGCTGGCTTACTTTGGTCCACTGCCTCCAGGGTCCTGCAGTGCATTAATGCATCCTCCCACGTCTTATTCTCCTTCACCAGAACCAGATTCTCCTCATAACACATGAATTGATTATGGGACTCACATTTAGTGGCCAGCCATTGTTTCCCATCCTCTTTTGTAAAAGCACAGTTTTCACCATCCTTTGGGTGATCTGTAAGAAGCAGGAGAAGTGAGGGGACTGAATTAACAATACAAATATCTACTTCACTTAGTTGACTATGTCTGTAGGTAATCAGCTCATCCTAAGGAAACAAAAACACAGCAACTCCTATATTAAGGAGATAATACACTAAAGAAAACATACCTAGGAACATTATATTCCATTCCTGACAATAGATGCTCCTAAATGTTACACTGCACCTTTATAGCCAGATTAAAAAAACAAAGCATATAGAACTATACAAGTAACTCTAATCCAGTCTATTCTTGCTTGCCAAAATTGTCACTGCCACATTTTGTGCAGAAAAGCAGTGAAATAAGTTGACAGCGTGCTGATGTGTTTTCTGTGGGCCATAATCAAATAAAATACAATCATGATCGCTGAGGCAAATGACCTGTTACTTGTATAAATGTAATTTTTAGCAGACGAGGCTGGCTGAGGACAACAGTGAAATAAAGTCTGACTTTTCTAAATTAAAATAATAATTTATGATATAATATCTATTGTGTATAGAAAAGAAAAACGGCACACATATTAACATTGTATGATCAAATTAATCAGATGCAAGGAACAAAATCATCTTAAAGTTACTGTACCATAAGCCTGAGAGCATTGATCTTCCCTACTCTGTTACATTATAGCTCTGCTTACCATTTTTCCAGGGGAAGTAGGTGGCTATCTCATCTCCTCTGGACCATTTCCAGTCAGAGCTTGTATTCTCTCGGTATAAACCGATCCAGCCATGGAATTTGTCCAAATTCTCTGTTTCATTTCTGATGCTGACCAGGTCTGTGTGATTCTCCCTGCAGTATAACTGTGCCTGTGTCCAGTTCATCAGGTATTTGTGAAAAGTAACATTAGGTCTAAGGCGTGAAACCTGCCCACACACAGGAGGAAGAAGGAGCAGCAGGGGGACTAGAATGCAGATTTCCCTCCTCATGTTTTCCACCAGATACCTGCAGTCACATGCACATTGTAATTGAGCACTGAACAAGAATGAAAAAGTGCTGATTTGATCAGAGCTCATAAATGCTAACTGAGGTGAACAGTAATTCTTAATGCAGCGCACACAAAAGTCTGTTTTTGCTGGAAGAACTTTGTACCAAAGAAATAGTCCCTAAAGAAAGCACAATGGAATGCCAGTTAAAGTGTGAGATCCTACTTGTAAGCTCAGGGCAAATCCATCTAACAACTCCACACGTCTCTCATTTCAATCAACACTGGAGGGTGGTAGACAGAGTCTTGCACGGGTCCAGTTTTGCAAACCTTCACCCGTCCGCACCTACAGAGTTCGGAACCGGAAACAACCCATGCTGCACACACAGTCATTTCAATCATTCCTAACCTGTGCTTAGGAAAATAGTCAGCAGGAAATGTAAGCTAAAATGTTTAAAAACACCATTATTGTTCTTTAAGTGCTTCCTTTGCCATACCAGTGTCATTGCCTAGCCCTAGCTCTACTTACCTTGGCAGCCTTGTTCCTACAGCAGCACTCACCTTGGACAACAGCAGCAGGGTGGGCAGCTTTGGGTTATTTCAGGTACTGAAGTCTGAAATATTCATGGCCAACCAATCACAGCTCAGATAGACTCTGACTAGACCAACAGCTGATATGCAGAGTAATCATGCCACCTATGACATTCACAAGGTCACAAGACACCCACCCACCCTGTCAGTCTCTCGCTCTCCCTTTCTCTTCATCTTCATGTCATTTTGCTTTTCCATGTAAATTCCTGCAGCAGCCATGCAAAGTAGATCTTTAGCATCCTGGTGTTTGGTCCTTTGCACAGAAATATATACATAGACGCCACATCAGCCGCTTCGGCCCGTTGCTGGGATACGTCAACGCATCCATCATATTAGACCAGAGGGGTATTGCACAAAAGTAGAATAAAGAAATCCAGGATAACTGAGGGAGCGCGGCTTGACCTAGCCTGCTCGGCGCATCCTGGCTTTATTGGTTGCACGTTTGCCGAGCCAGGATGAAAAGGTGCGGCTATGTTAAGCCAGGTGTAGATAGTCGGGATAAGTTTGTGTTCACGGCATACTGAAATAGACCTCACGATCGCTCACAGAATCACGGATGGGAACATGGATAAGAGCCGCGCTTCATATTTCACGGCCGCTGAACAACAGCTCCTGATGGAGTTCTATGAAGAGGTGGAAGATATAAGAAAAAAGGCAATACCAATACCATAATTAAAGAAAGAGAGAAAGCCTGGCAGACAATAGCGGACCGGCTTAATGCTTAAGTAGTCCAAAACTGTACAATGAATAAACAGTGCTCCACTGGAACTGTCATCATTAGGCTACAATTAAAGGACTAAAGGAGTTACTTTAAGTCCACTAATCAACTGTTGTACACTTTGCTTTAAATGTGGCAAGTAGAGGTTCATGTTGCTCAGAAAATGTAAAGTATGATTAAGTGCAAACAATTATCCACAATGTGTGTCATTTAATCTATTTTTATCTATTTTATCCTTCTATCCTTCATAAAGAACAAACTTGTCTGGCCATAAAAGGACCTGGCAGCAAGTTAAAGTTAAATACAAGAACATTTTGCAGGCTGGTAAATGACTATAAAGTAGATAACAGTGAACAAATGAGGTGAATAGATTAGGTGTCTGCTGATATGTTGAATGTCTGTATGATTGTAGCAGTTAAAAAAAAAGCCCATAGAACTGGCACAGGGGGCGGCCCACCAAGCCAGGATATGTGCAGCAAATGGTTCCTTTATTGAGGTTCTCTGCATCCCCAACAGAATAAAGGAAGCTCCCACTTGCAAAACATCTCAATGTAACACAGACCATCTGTGGTACAGTGAGAGCATGGCTTCCTGCCGTCTGGTGCTGTATTTTTGGACCCAGCAGGCTACATAAATATCTCAGTCCATCACCTGAGAATCTGTATCTCTCAATGAGATAGTTATCTCCAACGGCCAATGGGTCTGACCTGTCCCAGAAGACTCTTTCATGACTAAATGCTCGTCTGAGGATTAGGGCTTCCTCATCCAATACATCCTCCAAGAAAGGGCAAGCCATTATGAAGAGGGAACAGGTGTGAATAATATATATATATATATATATATATATATATATATATATTATGACATGCCGTTTAGGGAATGAAGCTTTGAATATATGGAATGAATCTTGGATATACTGATAAAAATGTGAGAATACTGAATGAAATTCAAAACCTAGTTGTATCCTTTTCATCAAAGTGATAGCCTTCTGAATTAGCTGGTTTTACAAAATGGCATCAGTTGAAATATTACAATACTTTCTTAAACTGGAAAACTTTTTTGCTTTTTCTGTCAGGATTTAGCCTGAGGCCTGTTGTAGTCGGCCTGCCACCATTAAAAAGGGAGTGAACTTCTTCGTCAGGAGAACGGTATTGGGCACGGGTACTATGGGAAGGATTTTGGCCCATACAAGCACTTGCCAATGAGTTAATAATGTCCTCATTGCTCAGTATTGCTGCCACAAGGTTCCTGACTGACTCATTCTCACTTCTACAAGATGGCAGCAGTGCCTTGATGACCAGTCAAGTTTCATTCCATAAATTCAAAGATTCATTTTATATATTCAAAGATTAATCTCTTAAACGGTATGCCATAATATATATACTATATTGCCCTTGTCACAGATTTCATTGAAAACACCTTTGCAACTTCATCAGCTGTGTTTTGTAATCTCAATTACTGCAATAAACACATATTTATGCAGTTTGACGAGCTGTCTTCATTAGCATAGCAATATAACACTTGTCCTGAGTAATAATACTACCACTTGAATCAATATAAAAAGACTGTTGCAATTACAAACAGCCAACAGATTTAAATGAAATAAGAAATTACAATATATATGTAATATTTTAATGCAGGATAATTAAAATGATGCAACATACTTAGAAAGACCATGGACATGCTGTAAAACACATTAATTCCTCACAGGATTGACGGTGGAAATACAGGTGAATCACTAGGATTAATCTTAGCCTGGCTGTTAGCCTGGTCTGGAGCAGGCTAGCTGCAGAGAATAAATCACCATAGTAACTTGACCGGGATAAGTTTAACCTGCTTTCATGCAACCGACTTGAGGCTAAATTAAGCCAGGATAACCAACATATCCCGGGTTAATCCCTTATCCTGGTTTTGTGCAATACCCCTCAGGCAAGACTGGCATGTAAACAAATAGTAAACAGGGGTGTCGTGGGTTTTCTGAAAAAAGGCGCTATAATGTTTACATTTCTCAAAAGATTTCATTGAGCAATGTTTATGTTCTACATGGAGTACAGAAAAAGGTTTTGTCTCCAGTTTCTTAGAATCTCTGTTGTTAGACTATATGGAGCCTTTGCTTTATTATTTTACACTCTTACATCAGTAGGCGCCCAACCTAACTCACTCTTGTTGTTTTGCATTAATTGGGTGGTGGTGGCCTGGGATGGTATCAAATTCCAGGCCTGAATTATTGTCCCAGTCCGCCCCTGGCTATTGTTCAAGGTTTTGATGGGGGTTACATGTCGTTGCCCATGCATTACCCTACTGTAAAGAGTTTAAGAGAGATTGGGATAAAGGAACCCCTTTACTCATCTTTGCAGCTAGAGAAGTAACCCAAGAGTCTCTTGGTTTCAGTCCAGCTGAGCTGGTGTTTGGCCATACTGTGGGGCCCTTCAAAACTGTTGAAGGAAAAATGGTCGGAAAAACAAGCCTCCTTCTACTAACCTCTTAGATTTTGTTAACAAGGCATGTGAACTGGCCAAGCAAATGTTGAAGGAAGCTCAAGGGAGGATGAAGGGGTGGTATAATAAAAAGGCAAAACATCCGAGTCCTTCTGCCACTTCCGGGGTCTGCTTTGCAGGTTCAGTATAATGGACCATTTGTCATTGAGCATCAGGGTGGTGAGTATAACTCCTTGGTTGAGATCCCAGAAGGAAACACTTCTGACCAAAACAATGAGCTAAAAGGCTCTGTAGAGCTGAGAGAAACTGTAGCGTAGGCTGATATTCATCATAATCATATCAAGAGGAAGAATCCAGTCTGCAATCTTCTGCATACTGTCTGTATCTTTGACAAACCTATCACCATCTTTGATAGAACCATATTTTTGTGCTTAATTCCAGTGACATTTAACATGAAAGTTAAAACGTTAACTTGATATTGAATATTATGTGACAATAACTTTGCATCTTCGACTTACAAAGCAAATAAAAAGCACAATGTTGAATATAGTAATAATAGATACATACACACAACTTTATTACACCAGTCATTTTAGTCATTTCAAATGACACTGATTTGTACTGTCAAACAAAATAGCTAGTAAAAGTACTAAATCAGGAATGTTTCTGTAAATTACAAAACTAAGTTAGTGTCCAGAATCTTTTTTAACTTAAAAAGTTGAGTTTGAGCTGTTTAAAGCTCACTATGTCTTCAGCCTGTCTTATGATGAAGCTCTGTCCAGTTTCTACACTTTCGTTCAAACAGCGGTGTACAACGACCGACCGATGTTGGAAACGCAAAGGAAAGCCCACAAGTCAAGGAACTTAGAGCAGTACTACTGCAGCAGCATTAAAATGCCACAAGTTCACAAATGTCAGAGCACAGTTAAAAAGCATCTTAACTGTACACAGACATCACCATGCTGAGCAGCTGAATACTAACCAGGAGGGTGCTGCACAAGTACATTTTTTAAGATGTAATTTTCAAGCGATCAGCCAATGACTTCTGCGTCCATGTTTCAGGTTCCCCCAGTTATCACATAGAATATAATTGATAGAATGTGTGGATCAGTTGTTGCACACTCGGTCTTTCTGAAAGCACTGTGAAAACAATAGTCTATGGAGAAGGTTGTCAATGATGTTCAAAGTCAAGCATGAGAAGCAGTTCTCCAAATGTTTTCTCCTGAAACTAAACCTTCAGACATTAGACAATAGCACAGTTGAAATCAACTGGATACTCTTTTTAAATATTAAACAGAGATAAATAGACAAAAATGTTATGATGAAAAATGGGAAATAGTTGGGCATAAAGACTTTGTCTTTGTGTTTATGTGATTTGCATTGATCAGCTCACTTATTTTAGATCCTTTGATAAGCAATAGCCTAATGAGAGTGAGAGAGCATACATTGTTCTGTAACCCAGTAGATAGTTTATCTCTATCAGTTTCATTTTATTCTCATTCTTACTTTCTGTTCGCTATAAAATGTGTCAGTCAAAGTATGGTTGCTTAGCCTCGGTTCTTATTGGCTGTATCAGTCAATACAGACATCTGATTGGGAGAGGGAATTAAGTCCCACCCCTCCAGGTTGAAGCTCGGCAGCGCAGTCAAAGCAAAATTATGTCTGTAACCCACGTGTAGTTAACAGAATACTCAAATAAATGTAGTGTCTAGGTTCACAGATCCGTCTACAGGTAGCTGTACAGCAAGACAGAATTAATAATTTGTCTAGCTGTAAACATAGAGCCTTTTAGCGCTCGGGTAATACTTTGAAAACTCCCGCGAAGGAAAATGCCGTTTCTACTGTTGTTG